AATTTTACGACTTTAAACTCGTAATTTTACGACTTTAAACTCGTAATTTTACGACTTTAAACTCAGAATATTATGACTTTGAACTCAGAATATTCTGACTTTGAACTCGTAATATTCTGACTTTGAACTTGTAATATTCTGACTTTGAACTCAGATTATTCTGACTTTGAACTCGTAATATTCTGACTTTAAACTCGTAATATTCTGACTTTGAACTCAGATTATTCTGACTTTGAACTCGTAATATTCTGACTTTGAACTTGTAATATTACGACTTTATTTTATACGACTTCAATGTCGTAATATTATAACTTTATTCTCGTAATTTAAAAAAAAAAATCTCGTGTGGACCTTAAACTTTGTCGCATCTTCCTTTTCAGAATCAAAGTTTTACTGTTTTCCTCAAACATCCATTTTCCAGGACAGAATATGTCACTTTTCCCTTCATCTTTATTAAGCGTTCAGCTCCAGATATTCATATTCTTCTCATAAAGAACATTTTAATATCCCTTAATAACAGTATTACAAAGAGAAACTCACTTTTCAGATACTCTTGTTGTTATTGCACTTTTTTTAATTTCACCCATTTTGTGTTAAAATGATAATCCATTAAAGTTTCAGATACATTTTAGACATTTGTGATTACATTGTTGCTCATCAAGATTTCAGTTGCTGGTTTTTGAAAGAGCTTATTAGTTGTATTATTTAATGATGGAATACATTTTTTGGTTTATACTTTTTTTAATATTCAAAATTATAGTAAAAATATCAGAAAGTTTTTCTTTTTTTTCATATTTAAAATAAAACAAGAGACATGTATGTATAAATATCTATATAAATGTGTGTGTGATGGCACAAGATTTGACCAAAACGGCTGTAAACTCATCAGAAACTGATCTTACTTTTTAAGCTCTGGCAGGAACAACAGCAGGCGATTTATTTAATGAAGGCCAAACTTTTAGTTTTAATAAGAAATCTATTTCAGATATCAACAATATTTACTGTAGACATTAAAAATCTCCTTCTAAAGCTCAGCTCATTTGTCTTGAGAAACCTGTAATGTTGACTGTTGGTGATAAACAGTATGTGGATTTCATTTTGATTTGGAAGAAATCAAGATCAAGTGTATTATATGATAAAGTGCTTGCCATACCGGGGAGACTTCTTGGCAGCTTCGTGCCAACAAGCAACTTGTTATCCCAAGTAAGAAAATGTAATCCTGTCTGAAAACTTCCAACAGTTCAGTTTATTACTGATTAAAGGAAGGAATAAAATCTTTATGGTAAAGAGGATTTTGTTTGGTTTGGGTCACTAACAACCGTGTTCTCCATCATGTCCAACTTCATTTAATATTCTCTAAAACAACTAGAATACTCCCTTTAATTGCATTCATTGATCATCGTGGGCTTTTTAGATGAGAATTGACGGGTCTTTGCTTTGTTCATCCAGGCAAAGTTTAAAGTTGAAGCGCGACAGAGAGCATCTGAAGCGAGGCGAGCACAAAGACAGAGGAAAGGCAGAGCGCTGCAGCTGAACGACAGCGCACCGGGTCACATGATAAAAAACAAAAACATCAAGCGACGTGAAAACAATAAAAGACACATAAGGCATCTGTAAATACACCCAACACAAGAAAAATGCTGCAACCATTTTTTTGTCTGTGTATGTACTGAAAATAATATATAGCTAAGGTATATTAAAGCTTTTCTGTTTATTCTATTCTTAAAAAATAATAAAAGTTGTGTATTAAAGAAAATGTGAATTCTTAGTTTTGATGTAGTCTGTCTTGTTCAGTAACACTGCACTGAGCTCTGAGATTTAAAAAAATAACTGTTTATTTATGACCTTGATGCTTTGAAAATTAAACAAAGACTTTGCCAGGTTATTTTTTTCAGTGTTGCATTAAATCAAACAAACAGGGGCTGTGGTCTTTGTAATCCAGAGGTGACCCCTGAAGGAGCCAAAAAGAAAAACAATAAAACAAAAAAGATCTTTACACGTTTACTGTATTTTTGCATTTTGTTCCTCTTAATCCTAAAACCATTCATTAAAGTTGTTATAAGACATGGAATGTTACTCTTAAGCCTAATAAAATAAAGACACGTAATCATAATTACATATAATATCAAAAATACATAAAAATCCCATAAAGAGCAGTTAATTAGGAGAATATTCTGCATGGGTTTATAGACATTATTGTAGTTATTATTGCACTGACTGAGGTCCTTCATAAAGATGCTGAGAACTGTGGATTAAATTCTAATTATTAATCAGTTTCAGAGCAGATTTGAGTGTTGAGCAGTCGAGTGTTTTACTGGAATCATGTCAGTTACATAAACAAACTATGCTTACATTAGTACTGTACAGAGAGTATTGCAGGTATAATACAAAATACATTTTGAGAAAACTACAATAACTCAAGGATTACTTTGGTCACTAAAGGAAAAGCTCAGAGCTTTAGAAGTGGGGTTCTGAGGGAAGGTTATGAACAATAATTATCTCACCTGTTGCAGATAACGCTTTCAGAACAAAGTGGATTGCTGCAGTTCTAAAACGTCTCTTCTTTTTAAACAGTAGCAGCTAGCTGTAGCACTTCCTGTGCAGCCTGGAGTCACTTCCAGCATGAATATTTCCATCACGTAAATTGACGGCAGTGCAAAAGTTGCTATAATGTGGGAGTAATCAGCTTTGCTCTTGGCTCCAGCTGGCTGTCAGCTCATCAATCCGGTCAGAATGGAATGATTTTAAAAAAGAGCTGTCTACAACAGGTAAGACGCTAATTGTTTGCAACATTCCCACAGAACCCAAACCCAAAAGCTCTGAAGGAGCAACAGTTTCTTCCATTGAGATAAAACGAGAGCAGTTCCAGTGTCAGAATACAAACTCCAGCACCACCGGAAGCCAAGACTCCAGTGGTCACTCCACTGTGTCGGGATTTCGGTTTCGGTCCCCTTCGGGTTGTTTGTTTGTTTTTTTGGTCTTTGGTTCCTAAAACTCACGAGGCTTCAGCAGGCTGAGACTCTGCTTCACTGGCACGGCCCTCCAGGATGGCCTGAACCTGTTCCAGACTCTCCGCCTGCCGAACCAACTCCATCTTCACCTGAGAGAGGAGTGAGGTTGCATGTTTAAATCTATTATCACTGCTTTTATTTTTCTCCTAACTCCCTGCCCAGTGCTTCTTACTGTACCTGAAGTGATTGGGAAAGCTGGACGAAGTCTCTCTGGACAGTCTGGCTGGTGTCGAGCTGAGAGCGCAGACTGATCACTTGGCTCCGCAGGTCCAGACACTTTTGATTTAGAGCTGCCTGAAAGTCAAAGAGACGTCAGTAATAAAATCCACTGGGTGATTAAACTGAGTTTGTTTTGTCATTTTAAGCCTCACAAGCCACCAATACGATCAACAGTTTAGACCTGACGGGCAGAAGAACCACAGTTTGATACTAAAATCAGGTTGGATTCACTTTTTCGCTGCTGAGGGATTTGTTGGTGTTCTGTAGGTGAGTGAGCGCCACCCGCAGGCCGTCCAGCTCAGTGCGACAGGCCAGCAGCTCAGACTGGATCTTCTCCATCTCCGTCCTGAGAGAGGAAAGCTGCACTGTGGACACAATCAGACACAGCTCCTTATATTTACCGTTACAAGAAGTAACTCCACAAATTAACGATTTCTTCCTATTTATAACACATTTAGTGATCAGTTTTAATTTCAGCAAGCAGGGTACAGATGCTAAAGGTGAAACAAATCTGAATAAAACGTCTCCCAACTAATCAACAGACCTGGTAACTGGTTTACAAATTCAAGATTTACAAGTCGTCCACTCACCCTCTAAGACTTCTGATAAGTTGTGATTTGGAGCAGCCGGGAGGCGTGAAGGGGAATAAAGAAACACTTTCAGTGTCAAAGAGTCAATCGAGGACAACAGAACAATGAAGTCAGTCACAGACCGTTCTCCTCCGTCCGCGAGTCCAGCTGCTCCCTCAGGTTGACGATCTCGATGCGAAGGCGCTCCTCACAGTGCGCCCCCTGCAGGACCGGCCCAAACCGTGAGTTCACACAAACAGACAGTCACTAAAACTGTCAAATGGATAATCAAATCGCCTGATCTCAAACGTTTATTATATAAAGCAAGAAAATAACGTAACCTCTGAGCGGAATTATATTTCACAGATTAAAAACTCTTGTAGTAACTACGGAAGAAGAGAAACTCAAAACATAAAGATTCTTAAGTTTTTGTTCCTGTTTTCACAACAAAACTCAACTTTCACAAGTGGAGATGTTAAGTTTTAATATTTGATGTGACTTAGTCGAGTCCAAATTTCATCAACTGCAATATAATCCATGCAAAYTGCGTTGTAAAAGCTTATTGTTTTATGGAGTTGTTTCTGAGTGAGATATAATGTAAACTAAAGTTATAAAACAGTAACTGTACATGCAGCGTGGCTGAGAATGATGAGCTGGTGTCTGCTACGTCCTCTTCAACCTCTTCTCCTTTCAGTTTGGACAAATCGCTGCACATTTTCCGCTGAGACAGAGACAGCTCTGCCTGGACACACAAACACACAAAAAAATTTAAAAAAATAGCAAAAAGTCAACAAACCAAACCTCAAGATTGAGTTTAAAAACTGTTTGTGTATGAGCAACAAGCTCAAACACAGACAAATCAGTACTTGTTAAAATTATTGTGTTTGTGTGTAAAAAAACAGAAAAGAAGTTTCTCATTTATAAAATATTATTGAGAGGTTTTTTTATCTTGATATATATCAATACTGAATTATTGTTAGAAAAAAATATACTGTAAACTGAGAAAAGTCTGTCTTGACTGTCACAACGCAGCCAAGCTTTGAGCCTGTCACACGATGACATTTTAGACAACTTCTGAAATGTTTGTCCAACTCTAAAGATGTCCAAGATTAAGATAGAATAAAAAAAATCCCCTGAAGCCTCTTTGGGATGTATTCATAACATAATGTTAACAAATAGTCAATATGAGTAAAATAGTAATAACAAAATTTTCTTAAGTCAACATAAGTTGTCTAAAACGTTAATAGTGTGACGTGGCCTTAAAGGGATCCCTGATTAGTTGTAACATTAGACTTTATTTGATAAACATATATTTTAACTGTAAAATAAAGACTGTAAAAATACTGTAGGCTGTTTAGTTTTGTAAATTTTTAAAAATATATTTTAACACGGACGGAGCCATTTTATTTACACACAAAGCATTTTGGGTAAATGATGACGTGGATAGGTCCTCGGTGTGAGTGAGCTATATCCACCCTGAAGGTTAATCTTGGACAATATCTGATGATCGACTCTTTTAAATGAAACCAGAGAGCGTTGACAGAGAGGAGAAGGTAGAAATGACTCAGCCTGTAACTGAAAATATGGATGGAGGACAACAGAGCTGCTTCATGGAAGAAAAACCTCAGCTTAGCCTGTTAGCTTTAGCACCGATGCTATATCCTTATATGTATTAGCTCGGTGCTAGCGGAACAAGCTAAACTGAGGTCCACCATCCATATTTTCAGTTACAGGCTGAGTCATTTCTACCTTCTCCTCTCTGTCAACGCTCTTTGGTTTCATTTAAAAGAGTCGATCATCAGATATTGTCCAAAATTAACCTTCAGGGTGGATATAGCTCGCTAGCAGCCTTGCACCGATGACCTATCCACATCATCATTTACCCAGAATGCTTTGAGTGTAAATAAAATGGCTCCGTCTGTGTTAAAATATATTTTTAAAAATTTAGTTTAAAAATGATAAAAACTAAACATCCTACAGTATTTTTACAGTCTTTATTTTACAGTTAAAATATATGTTTATCAAAAAAGTCTAATGTTACAACTAATCAGGGATCCCTTTAACTTACAAGCAAGTCCTCATTTTTAGCAGTTAACTAGAACAACTTTATTCTTCCTTTAACGTTTTAAGAGCTTTATTGTCACTCACCAGCCGGCTCTGGACTGCGTTCTGTGACTGGCTGAAAGACTTCTGCAAGTCCTGAAGGAGGGCCTCTGAAGCCTGGACCTGAGACTGGAGCATGGACACCTGAACAAACGAATGGACCATTTACAACTCTCTTCGTCTAGAACGGCGTACAAGGACACACACTCAGGGCGGCGCTGCCCACCTGCTGGTGTGTGTGGTTTGTCTGTGTGTCCAGTTCCCTCTCCAGCTCTTCCTTCTCCGCCTGCAGCCGGCTCACTTCTCCTCGCAGCTCGGACAACTTCAAAAACAAGCAGATATTTCAATACGACACAAACACAGCAGAAGGTTTTTTTTAATTGTATTTATTTATTTTATTTTAAAAAACAAAACATTGCATACAAAAAAAACAATATCAATAAAAATAAAATGAAAGGCAGCAGAAGAAGAAAAAGATCTTATGATATCTGCTCCTATTTACAAAAAATATATATTAATTTCAAACAATAATAAATGGTTTAACGTAGAGGTGTCCCAATACCAGTTTTTTTTCAAACAGAGTACTTCAGTTTCAGTAATTACCGATACAGAGTACCGATACCAAGTACTTACTGTGTTAGAACTAAATTATAAAAACACCTTTCTTTCATTTAGAACCTGGTACTAAATCAGATAAATAAAAAAGACAAAGTATCCCCAACCTGTGCGTTGAGAGCATCCCAGTCGCTGTGCGTTACGAGCCGGTGCCCAGCCGGCGGCAGGTAAATGGCTTCAGGTACCAGAGTTCCTGTAGAAACCAGCGACTCGGTGTCCTCCTGACCGAGGAGTTTTCTGGGCAGAGAGGGCGTGTCCAGAGAAAAGGAGGACAGTGAGGCCGAGTCGCAGTGCTGTAGTGAAAAGTATGCCTCGGCCGAATGCGTGGCCCCTTCCCCCTCTGCCTCCAGGTCTGCTGGTCGACGCTGCCTCCTGTCCGTCGACGTTTCGTCCTCTGTCGAGCTGTTGACGAATGAGGTTGGGGATTCATTCGTGGAGGCTTCCGGATCCGTCCTGCCTTTCCTGTTACTGATCTAACAGACACAGGGAACAAACGATGGAGGTCGAGTCCAAAATACTCAACAGTTTTAGTGAAAAATAAAAGGCAACACAGGTTCACACTGACCATGTTGTGTCCACTGGATCTCCTCCAGTCCACGGGCTGAGTCTGCAGCACAGCTATCCTGGCTTCATACTGAGCTGCTGTCTCTGGAAACAAAAAAAGTTTTTTTTTAAAAAATCTTTATTAGTTTTCCAACCTTAGGAAGCAATCACAAACATTATACATTACGTAATTTTATTTCTTTTAAGTTTGAAAGCACCTTTAACAAGTTAAATACAAAGGTTTCTCATAAGTTCTTACAGCAGGTGGATGCTAAAAGGCACGTGGAGGAGATGAACTAGGCTAGAATATTTAAAAACAATTATTGTGAACACAACAGTAATGGAAAGGTTTTGATTTTACGTCTCTCATGCCCATCTCATTTAGAAAAATCTATAAAAAGTATGAAGTATTACCCCTGACAGTAGCTTCAGCCACAAAAACACTGAGAGGAGATGGAAAGCTCATTAAGAAATGTTTAAAAAAAAGACATTTTGCTTGGTAAGTTTGTAGCATTTTCCCATTAAGGAATCTTTCTAAGGATCTTATGGACTCTGCTTCTGTACAAGGTCCCAAACTGAACCATTCAGACCAGGAAAGGATGGTCATTTGTTATCCTTGGAGATAACTAGGGCTACCAAAGAGTTTAACTTCCATGAATATGTTTCTAAATTGAGGCTTCATCACTCAGTTTTATCAAGAAGTCCCAAGTCTTGCGTGAACGAAGGTGTTTGAGCATATTGAGTCAACCTATGATTTCCTCCAACAGGAGTGGTAATGGAGACTGGCAGGAAGTGGACAATGAAGGGTTTTGTGAAGCAGAGACTCAATAAAATGCCATGGAGGCCTGGTAGGTGTGGCGGGAAACAGCACACTAAGTTGGAAAATGATGAGATTTAGGCAGACAGTTCTTCATCGAGAGTCCACGTGAAACCTCATCACACAAGAGCACAGGTTGACACAGACGGGTTGCGTGGATGAGGTCTAAGACTAGAAGAGATCAAAGCATCAGGACCACGTCACTGATGAGGCAGGAGGGGTAAGGCCTGTGGAGGTTTTGCAAAAAAGTCTCTGCAAAGTTTACACTGCTGTCTGCATCACACTGAAAACACAAAAAGACATTTTTATCCTAATCCTAACCATGTGGGTGCATGTGCACATTGAGAGATTAATCCTGCTTATTATATTATACAACATGTAAATGCAAAAGCACATGTTGCTGACCTCTGAGAGCCTCCTGCAGTGACTGGATCTCCTGATCACATTGTTTCTGCAGCTCTGCCAGTTCCTCCTGTTTGCTCAGCTCACAGATTGTGGCCACGCCCTGCCAGTGCTCGACCTGAGCTTGGCTCTCAGCTAGCTGGGCTCGCAGGCTCGCCTCTGAAAAACAGCACACAGGTTGCAGGGTTTATCCTCTTCTTTCAGGATGTTTAGACTGGTGGGGATTTCACACAGCTGGACATAAAGCTTTCGAACGAGCTGCGTAGTTTGTGACGTCTTAAAAACACAAAACCAAAAGGAAAAAAACCTGCAGTAAGGACATAAAAATAAACCCTTCAAATGTTGATGCACTTGATTGGTTTCTTGACTTACATGTGTCGTTTCTAGTTTTCCTTATCTCCACTAAGCTTGCGCAATGTTATATATTTTTAATCATCTTCCGTTTTTCATGAAGACTTATTCTTGTGCAGCAACTTCAGCTAGTAAAACTGCAAAGATAAATTTGGTCCTAAATAGGGCTGCCACAAACTATTATTTTTATAATCGATTAATCACTGATTATTTTTTCGATTAGTCGACTAATCGGATCATGCATTAATTGAATATAAACCATAGAGCTTATCGTGTCAGAATGCAGCTGCTATTATATAACCATGGTTAGATTTTAGCTATATGCTAACTAAAAATAATTGCTGTGGAAGGCAAGTTCTGCTCTGCAGATATTGCACAGGTTTCTCTTTCATTTTCTTAAAATGATCCCACACTTTTGAGCTCCTTTGCTGGGTAGCCATGATACCAGAGCCTGTCTGTATGTTTTGTGACGTCCACGGCCTACCCCAGTTACCACTACTGTGCATGTGTGTCAAGGACAGAAAGGCAGATGTGGCAGTGGAAGGTGTCAAAGCAGTTTGGAGAGAAAAACAAAGTAAAGAACAAAAAAAGAAAACGATTAATCGATTATTAAATTAGTCATCGATTATTTTAATAATTGATTATTCGTCGACTAATCGACTAATCATGGCAGCACTWGTCCTAAAACGCCAGTTTTACCACTAATAACAGGTGCTATTAACAGTGTTTTACCTTGAACTACAATTTTTAAGACATTTAGAGTATATTTACACAAGTACAGCCACATCTAAGATACTTGTGCTTCATGAGGTCATATTTTATTTTATCTGATATTTAATCTAATAAAAATGCAAAAAAATGTACATTTTAAACCACTACATCGAGCTATTTAAATTTGACTCAAGCAATCAAAGAATGATATAAATGGCTCAAATTCATAGTAAAATGATACCAAAATGAGAAACAACCTTTCAACAACGGGTCAACTGGGGTATTTTCACTTTCAGTAACATTTATAGAGCAGTGTTTCTACTAATATCATTGAGAGACTTTTGTTTACTAAAACTTTGAAAAYTAAAACTTTATTGATATATTTAACAACAATCGGTATTAAAAAGCTATAACGTAAAGGTAAAGGAGTCGGGTTTTATTATTTTTTAAGGAATTAATGTATCAGAATGAAATGACAACTAACAAGTATTTAAAACTACTTCAGTGTGAATATAAAGTTTGAATTAATTGGACACAACTAAGTTTAAAGAGTTAGCTTTGCGGCTAGCAGTGCCAGCTCATTTCTTCGGTAAACAATGCTAACACAGGCCATTTATCCGTTTCAACACTGAACACAACTACAAACTTTATGAACCCCCGAAAAAATAAACAACAATTAAGTCGTAAAGCTGTTAACCTCGTCCAGCAGACACTTATAAAGCAGATTAAAATTCAACCTGTTTGATTTTTTTTTTCTTTACTACCTGAGTCTTCCTTGACGGAGCTCATCTTCCCGTCAGGCAGCTCCATCCGAGGCTTGGTGGCATCGGCGACAAAAACAAAGCGTTCAAAAGTCCCGAAAATCTATATTAGTCATTTTTGAACGAGTGCAGGGGTTTGGTGTGGAAATGGTCAACACAGGACTTCAGGAAACAACTTTCCCCGGTTTAAGCCTGCGGAAAACACGTCAACCTCCTTCCTGTTCGCAGCCAGTGTGTGTCTGCAGGCAGAGGACACTCAGGACAGAAATATCTAAAAACACATAAAAGATCAGGATTGGTACATTTAGCTGCACCATCAGAGGAAAATGGTTAAAAACCACCAAATCTTTCCTCGTTTCTTTATATTCTGCTTCAAAGCAACAGGATTTTCTTCTATATCTTCTCATAAACTTGATCAATACTTCTCAGACTATTTCTTTGGACTTTGCATCACAAGTAGTTATTTTTTTTCAACATTTTAATCCGAAAGTGCCTCTTTAAAGAAGTGTGAAACCAAAAGAAGGAAGACTAAAAGCTTAAGTGTGCAAAAATAATTCCCCTCTGAAGGCCAACAAAGACAGACGAGGCTTTTTTAATGTGATGCGTCTGTACATTGTTTTATACTGAGTGGAAGTAAACTAGCAAATCAAACCTGTTTAAACCAAACTACCAATTTCTAATGCTTTATACCCAGCCCACTTTTCTTTGTTTTTAAAGCTGTGATAAAACTGGAATCCTTGTATCCACACCCTCCCACATGAAGGTCAGTATTTGCAGCCCAACCTTCCAGTCCTCATCTCTCCTACACGCCTGGCTTCAGTTTCAATCTGATCATCTGGAAATTTGACATGTAAAACAAACRAGTTTTATCTTTGCCTTATTTGCAGTCAAACTGGAGCAAAAGCAAAACTGTAAAAGAAAAAAAAAGAGAGACCAAGTGTATCATTAAAATACCTCAGGAATGTTTAACTCACAAACCAGATGCATGTTTCTTATAATTAATTCATGAACTAAGAACAAGTTTCCAATTATATATTTTTTGCCCTATTTGAATCAAACTACAGGTGTACCCCAGGTGAACACAAACAGTAACCAACTATAACTTCAAATATATGACTCAATAAAAACAGGGGCCAAAAGGATAAATGAGCTTAATGTAAAACTGACATAAATATGAATTAGCTTAACAAGAGCTGAGGCCTTTAATTCTTCTTTTTCATAATAACTTCCATCGTTGAGTTTTTAAAAATGTATTTATTCCCTTGTAATGAAAACAGTCATAATAAAGGCATAAAACAAAAAATAAACTGTTGAATTGGTCACTGACGCAAGTTTCTAAATCGCTGACAAACAACCAAAACATGCGAAATCTGTGAATAAAATTAAATATTCTATAAACTGACTGATTCAGGAACACTAGATCATTACAGAAGTGTGACGACATGATAATCAGTCAAAAATAATGTAAAAAAAATTGCTGGTAAATGTCTTCATACAAAGTGACTCATGGAATCAGTGTTTGTATAAACAGTTGGGAAAACCTATTTGTTATTTCTGAAAGTGGTTTTTACCTGAATTTGAGTGAGACAGAGGCACAGGATAYAAGCATTGAAGTGCTCACAAGAAACAATCAGTAACAAGATTCATCTCATCTGCAGGTTGTGTTATWGTAACAGCTTCACCGTCATTAACAGGCTTTAAAGAAGTTGGATGATTTCTCTGAATGAAAATAAAAATCCATCTTTAGCTGGTTTTGTGTGACTCGTCATTTGTTGTGAAACCTTGGCAAAAACGGTCCCAGGTCATGTTGGGAATGCTTCTGCGTAGCTCTTTTTCCCTCACAAGTCCATGTCTTGATCGCTGACACTCTGACGTAAATACTCTTCATACAGCTTTTTCTGCAGGGAAGAGAACGGATCGTTAGAACTTGTTTCCTGTCAGAACCGTTTCAGAGTCTGACTCAAACACGGTACCTTTTTGCTCTTCACCACCTCCTGAACGTACTCCAGCTTCTCCTGAAGCTGCCGTTTCTGTTTGCCTGAAAGAGTCGAACGAGTCCTGCGAAGAAACAAAGTGCCAAAGACTGGAGTAAACTCAAAGCTCAAAAACACACAACCCTTTAAAGAGGCCTGCAAACAGATAATGTTGCTGCTTAACAACAAACTGCAACTAATTCATCAAAAAACATAAATACCTCCTTTTGATTTGCTTCCCTTGACTTTAAAGTCATTTACATACAAATAAAATGTGTTTTGCTTCATATTAACATTGTGCTTTAAGGTCTCTTTTCTCCTCTAAAACTAAATGATTAATTTAACCTACATAAATATCACTTGAGAGAGAGGGTAAAGTTAGGTTTAGAGAATACAAAGAAAAGAAAAGAGGTGCTCCATGAAATGAAAATGGAGACCTTCTGAGTRGATGGAAAGTTCTGGTGTCTCCTACCTGAAGGTGAAGCGTGCGATGATGAGCAGGAGGAAGGAAAAAAGGACCAGACCGCCGCAGACGTAAATCTGCTGCTCTCCAGACAGGGACTCAAATATTTTCACTACAGGAGTCTGTGTGATGAAGAGGTCATTTAGATCAAATGAAATAAATAATGAACCCCACAGAACAGCGATGAACTCGTTTGGACGCTCACCAGATAGAGAGAGAGGGCCTCGGTGCCCTCGCGGCCCAGCGTCATCTCCAGCAGCTCCYGGGACAAAGAGCCCAGAACGAGCAGGGCCAACAGGGCCAGCGGGACGCTGAAGCCCAGCAGWGTCAGGAAGCAGCTCTTACATCGCGCACGTCTGTTCTCCAAACTGGTCTGTCTGTATCAAACAGGCATGGTTATATTCTGAAAGTATCTCTTTAGATAAAACCAGTCATCTGATATTTATCTGTTACTGTTTGCAAAAATCTGTACCTGTCAGTACTGAGTTTGTCTGCGATGGCCTCGCCAATCAGCTCACAATCCCTCTCCAGAGAGTTGAGCGTATTCTGAACCGTCTGGTTGATGGTTTTCTCGATCGTGCGACAAACGTCCTCGATCTGGTTCACACAGCGGCTGGGCTGAAAACAAAAACACAAACAACAGAACWGATAAACRGCAGACGGTGTTATTGTGTATWGAGCTGCAGTAATGTACAAATTTCCCAGAGTGGGATCAATAAAGTTTTATCTTGTCTTATTGAAATGATCCACACATGAAGCTGAAAGAGAGATCAACTCCTACCTTGTTTGGGTTGGGGATGTAGATGGTGGGCATCTCGAAACCACATTTGTTGAGTCCTGGCCGCTTGCAGAGCTCCTGCACAATCTGCATCATGACTCTCTGGGACAAAGAAAGAAGCCAGAATCCTGCTGAGATGCTGACTGTTTGGATCGTCTCATGTTGTAGAAATGAAAGCCAAGAAATGCTGACAAAGTGCTGGTAGTTCAGATTAACATGAACCAATCACAACTACAGTTTGAGTCAATCTGACTGATCTTTACATTTATTTGTTTATTTTTATTTCCTTAAAGGGATCCCTGATTAGTTGTAACATTAGACTTTATTTGATAAACATATGTTTTAACTGTAAAATAAAGACTGTAAAAATACTGTAGGCTGTTTAGTTTTTATAATATTTAAATTAAAAGTTTAAAAAATATTACACGGACGGGGCCATTTTATTTACACACAAAGCATTCTGGGTAAATGACGTGGATAGGTCCTTGGTGCGAGGCTGCTAGCGAGCTATATCCACCCTGAAGGTTAATCTTGGACAATATCTGATGATCGACTCTTTTAAATGAATCCAGAGAGCGTTGACAGAGAGGAGAAGGTAGAAATGACTCAGCCTGGAACTGAAAATATGGATGGAGGACAACAGAGCTGCTCCATGGAAGAAGAACCTCAGCTTAGCCTGTTAGCTTTAGCGTTAGCCCCGACGCTATCACCATATAGGTATATGTATTAGCTCAGCGCTACACATTCTCCTCTCATCACTGAGGTCCTCCATCTACATGACAGAGAGGGGAACGCAAAAATGACTCAGTCTGCAATTGAAAATATGGATGGAGGACCTCAGTTTAGCTTGTTTGCCGCGCTAGCACTGAGCTAATACATATAGCGTCAGCACTAAGGCAAAGACTAACAGGCTAAGCTGAGGTTCTTCTTCCATGAAGCAGCTCTGTTGTCCTCCATCTATATTTTCAGTTACAGGCTGAGTCATTTCTACCTTCTCTCTGTCAACGCTCTCTGGTTTCATTTAAAAGAGTCGATCATCAGATATTGTCCAAGATTAACATTCAGGGTGGATATAGCTCGCTCACACCGAGAACCTATCCACGTCATCATTTACCCAGAATGCTTTGCGTGTAAATAAAATGGCTCCGTCCGTGTTAAAATATATTTTAAAAAATTTAAAAAACTAAACAGCCTACAGTATTTTTACAGTCTTTATTTTACAGTTAAAACATATGTTTATCAAATAAAGTCTAATGTTACAACTAATCAGGGATCCCTTTAAACCGTTTCAAAGTCTGTTAATAAACCCTCTGTTTTTTCCTTCATTACAGAAGCTAACCTGCTAACTGCTAATGGCTTACCTGTCTGTCTGACTCTCCGCCGGCTTCATCGGCTTTGCTCAGATAAAAACGCAGCCGCTCGCCATGCTTCTCGTTCAGGCTTTCCACGATGTTGAGCGTGCGCTTGCAGAGGGCCTGACCCATGGGGTCAAAGAAGACCAGAATGAGGTCACAAAGGTCACCTGAAAGTAAAAGTCACACAATTTAACTAATAAACAGGCATTTTAACTTTTTGTGTTTTTTTTAAGCACAGAAATGAAAAAGCTGTGACAAAACGCTTCAACTGAAATGATTATAAGAACACGAGGTGTTCTGAGCAAAAGAAGAGTTTTATGAAGCTCATATTCAAATGATGAAAATGTCAGTAGGTAACTCAGTGTTTCAAGTTGATTTTGGCAAACAACCCACCAAGCCACAGGATAACCTCGTCCACGTCAAACGGATATTTCATGTCGCCGTCTACCAAACCTGGAGAATCCACGAACGTCACCAGGCTGAACCGTTTCTGCCGGGACGTGCAGATCTCGGTGCTCAGATACTCTGTAACACCTAAAAATTCATTCAAAACAGAGGTTTACAGACACTTTCTCGTCTCTTTTTTAAAATGCAAATATGCTCACGTGACATGAAATATCATCTCGTCATGTCCAATCCTGAGGCCTCAACCCCAGTTTATTTAATTCATTTACAAAAATAATACGTGCAATTTATGTACAGGAAGTTGTGTCTAACTGTACTGGCTGAGAGATGATGGTCATTTTGTCTCTACTTTGACTTTCAGAATAAAAGCTGCAGATTGTTTGAAACATGAGGCCCCTGGTCCTCGATGACCACCATCCTGCATGTTTCAGATGGTCCTTGCTTTAACACAGGGTTGAATTACTGAGGGATTAATAGGCCTCTGCAGAACTCGAAGGCCTGCTTTGGCACAATATCAGATTAAAGTTGGCGCTGAAATAAAACCTGGGAAAGTGTCAAATTATGCTGTCAGGGGTGTTTAAAAAGTGCAATCATGAATATCAATAATCCAGCTAATTTCTGATCGATGTGAATCCAAACAAGTCGTCTCACCTTTAAACTGYTGCAGAGGCTTGAAATGTGGATATAAGTGAAGTGTGGCATTTCCCTAAAGAAACCAACAAAGCCACATTTGTCACAGATGCTGCGTAAAACAAATGTTAAGTCTACATAKTCTCTAATTCTTCAGTGACTTAGAGGAAACGATAAGGATATCAATTTTAATTTAGTAAATAAAATCACTGATGTTGGAAACATATGCACTGATAAGTTTTGTGTTTACTGACAGACTAACTGTACTATTTCACACAGATTATGTGCTGCTGCTGCTGCACTCACTGTGAGAGATTCTCTCTTGCGGCCACTTGTAACAAAACTGAAGCCCTGCGTCTCGATGGCCACTCCGGTGCGCTGGATGTGCTCCTCCACATACCTTACAAAACAAACAAACATCAAAGCAAAAACAAATTGATCACCCCAAGAGGAAATAAACCAAGAGGAAGGTTTGAACATGATGTTTAACAGCACAAGAACCAGGCAGAGAACAGGGCAACTTTATCTTTGTAGCTGGTCGTTTACCAATTGATGAAGGAACTTTTCCCAGCTGAGTGGTTGCCCATCAGCATCACCGTGATTTTTTTCCTGGGTGGCAGCAACGTCACGCCAACAGATTCAGCCACTTGAATCAACCCTGGAACAAACAAACAAATATTAAAAACCAATCATGTACCCCCTTTTTTTAAGGATAAGTTGACCTAGACCCATCATTGTGATGAAGGTGAACCTGAGGGAGCAAGTGAGTMTTTGGTTCTAGTCAGGTTTTTCAGGTGGGGTGTTGTGAATTTGAACTTTTTATTATGCCACGTAAAAGGTTAAGCTTATAATAAGAGTTCAGTCACTCGGTATGCTAAAACTTTACCAAACGGGGCACCGACTCATAATGATGCTATAGGATAATAAAACAGACTGAGTGTGACTTAACTTTGACAAATCATCATCATGCAACGTCACCCAATCCACAAAATCCCTGTTAGCAAACKTAGCTAGCATCCCTACATTACCTAGGCGCTACTTGGTTAGCTAGCTAACATGCAGTCAATAAACAAAACTCACTACCCAACAAGTTGTGTTTTAGGACTGGTGATTGTTCATTCATTCAATCATTCATTCATTCATTCACTCAGTCAGTTCATTCAGCTCACCGCTCTCTGAATCCGTGTACATCTGATGAATATCCCGCAAGATGCGCTCATCACAGGACACGCCGCCCGCTATGGAGTCTGCGTTAGCGGCATTTCTGCTCTTCACTTTTCCCGACATGGTTACACCTTGAGGTAGTCCAAGTATGTTTTAGGAGGACTTGTTAATGGCGTCTCTAAAGTCTACAAGTACACGTACAGTCGGTCTCACAACAGTTTGAATCACCCCGGTCCACTGAAGCCCGGGGATGTGGCGTATTTCAGCCACGTCGCCAGTTAGGACGTCACAGGCTGCGCGGGATTGTGGGTAATGTAGTTTACTACTTAGCTTATTTTTTTATGCTGAATGCAAGGTATAATACAAAACTTTCTACTTTTTCTCAGTTCTTTTAAATTTACTAATCCTTTTTACCTTTATAATGTTCACAAATAAAACAAGCACGTGTTTGCTACTTATTTTCCAGTGAATATACATTAAATCTATTGTGCATGTTTTCTGTACGTAATAAACATCAGTGTTCAGCTTTGAAATATTCCTTTGAACTTTGCATGCTTTCATTCCTTTTTACATAAACAATTTACTCAATAAACTCTTTATAGCTGAGCAAAAAAACAATTTGGTTTAAAGTTGTAAGTAAAGGAAAAAAATCACCCTAACAGTTTAAAATAATTTATTCACAACAGAATAGAAACACCAGCTTAACTATATATGATTTTAAACACTTTCAACTTGTTTCTGTAAATTCAAACTCATTAATTCTAACTCAAATTCATGTATTATTTTTATTTACATGACACAAATGTATATATCAGACTTACATAGTAGTTTTCTAAAGACATAACATCTGGTTTGCATGCACATCTRGAAATTATGGTTTACATGTGATTGCATGAGCTAATATTAGACATGCAGTAGGACAATTTCTAAAGTAAAACTGAGACATGATTTTATAAATCAATGCATACAGCATCAAATGATCTAAAAAAAAGATAAGACATTTTGGTGTCATAGTGCATCTTTCAAAGCAATTAATAAAATATTAATAACTCAAATAATCACTTTAAAGCTCTGGTTATTACACTTCATTTGTTGTTGTTTTTTTGTCTTCATTCCTAAAAAAGGAAATAAGTAAAATAACTTGAGCCGGAAAAGGGCAGAGTGCCTTCTCCGGGTCAGGGGGGTCGCCCTGTCTCAAGTGGAGGAGTTTA